GGCTCAGGCTGCAGGCTTTTTCTGCAGCAGCAGTTGTTGTCCACTGTGAACCGAGCGCCGTCGTCTGTAAGATGGTGAAGTGCTCTTCACTTCTGATTTCGGAGTATGTGTCCATAATGATTTCGTATCCACCATGTTCCACGTTCTGTTTAAGTGGTTCCGGATGTTAACCAATCTGATTCCATTACACCCATTTTCTACTTTGGAGAACTAGGGCATGGAGGTAAAGAAGCTCGCTCAAATAACACTGCAAGTGAACCATTCAGAAGGGAGCGGTCTGGCTCAGGGCTGTTGTGACAGGAGTCCCACAAGTGGGTGGCATGAATTCTCTCGGTTTGAGCGGCTACAAGTCTGCGTTCAGGATGCCCCTTCTAAGGGAAGCCTTTCTCTGTGGCTCCGGGAGAAGGGCCTGGTCTTCTTTTAGCATCTGTCGGCCCAGCATTCTTCGGATGTCTTCCTGTGTCTCGGCATCAACGTCCCCTGGACCTAGGGGTTCCCAGTGCAGCACTGTGAGTCCACAGGAGGTGTCCCACTCCCCGCTCTTTTTCGTGACAGTAGGGCCCCCTTCTCTGCTGGTATCTCGTTTAAGATAGAAGGTGGTGCAGGCCGGGCCTCAGAGAAACACCCCTTACATCAGGGGTTCTCAACCTGTGGGTCGCAACCCCTTTGGCAGTCGAACGACCCTTTGTCAGGGGTTGCCTAATTCATAACTAGCAAACTGACAGAGATGAAGTAGCAACGAAAATAATGTCATGGTTGGGGGTCACCACCACATGAGGAACCGTATGAAAAGGTCCCGGCACGAGGAAGGTGGAGAACCCCTGCCTTACATGGATCAGGGCTGTGGTCCTGTGTTTGAGAGTTGCATCTTGTCCTAACCCCCTGATCATGGTGAAGCTGGCCCCAGCACGCATGATGAGTCCACCGATACATAACTGCCAGCCAGAATCATGGCCCAACAAGTTGACACATATGTTAGGGCCAAGGGCAATTCATCGGCACCCCTTGGTCAGCCTCCAGCGGTACAGTGGTGAACAAGACAAGGTCTCCACTTGTATGGAATTTCTAGTCTAGTGGGGAGTCAGAAAGCAGTCAGCTCATTTGTAAAGATAAATGTCCAGGCAGTATTAAGTGCTGAGTGGAATGTAAAGCCAGGGTAGAGATGAGAGCATGGTGGAGGTGGGCATGGATACTTTCAGATTTTTGTGGCATGAGAAGATCTCTCTGAGCGGGTATCATGTGAGCAGAAACCTATTTGAAGAGGGATTCCAGCCACGTAGGAATCCGGGAGGAGACACATTCCAGGTGGAGGGAGTAACATGCAAGCATGTTGAGGCTAAGACGGGCCTGGCCAGTTCAGGGCCAAAGGGAAGCGCAGTGTAGCTGGAGTGGGATAAACAGTGGGGCGATGCCAGCAGTGAGGGCCAACTGTGCTGGGCCATGCAGGTGACATGATGACAGGGACAGGTGGTGGTGTGCACTGTTAGAACCCTCTAGCTGTAGGGTGGAGGACGGACTGCGGGCAGCCCGAATAAAGCAGGAGGCTTTTGTGCCAAGACAAGGAATGCCCTGGCTTCTGGAATCTTTGGTCTGGAACTCAGAACTCTTGGCCTAGCAAGCCCTGCTGCTGGACAACTCTAATGGGCAAAGGAGCCGGGCCACTCAGCTCTGTACCCCCTGCCCGTTCCCCTAAGGCTCATGGGGAACATATTTGGAGGGGAATCATTGCAGGAATAGCTTGTATTTTAAGACCATAGTGGGGAAGGTGAACTCACTCTGACTGACTGTGAAAGCAGAATTTTTGTGTTTACCCCAAAGGATTTATTTCTGGAGAATTGAGATGGAGTTGGGGGGGAGGATGAATTCTCTCTCTCTCTCTCTCTCTCGCACACACACACACACACACACACACACACACACCCGGATTAGGAACCAGAAACCTTCGCACTAGCTGGGATATGTTGAGCAGAGATTGTATTTGACCCCCTCTCCTCACGAGGTCGTCGTGAGGTGCAGTCGGGTAAGAATGAGGAAGCCTTGTGCACAGACATTTCGAAGGGAATCTGATGTGATAGCGTTACTGCTTGTGGAAATTTGGAGCTTGTGGGGTGAATCCTTTGCTCAGTACTATTCCACGTTACGCCCTAGAATCAGGCTGGGAGTGTTTCCCTCGCTGTGCAAGCCTACAAGGAAAGACTTTGGACTGTGTGACCAGATGGGACTGGCAGGCTCTTTCCCCCTTTGAGCCCCAGGAACTGATTGGAGGAGGGTGTAACTTCACACTCTGTGGCCAAGACGTATTAAAGCTGCTCCTTCCTGGAAGGCTGTTGGCCGAGGTCCCCAGAGCAGAGATAGGAAGAGTTGGCTTGGAGTCATTCCTAGAACTGGGGACAGATGGGCAGATAATGACACACACACACACAGCACACGTGTGCACAGAGATAAATAAGGCACAGCCTAGTCACTGGGGGCTCACACAGCTCACGGTTAAGAGATACATGTAAACAAATGATTAAAGGTATGGTCATTGTTGCACCCTTTTCAGAGAGCAGAGAAAGGAATAATTTTGTCAGGTGAAGGTTCAAGGAAGACTGGGGAGGATGGAGCTCTGAGCAGGGTCCTTTAAGTTATTTGGAGACCTCTCCATGAAAAAGGAGAGGGAGGATATTTTTAAAAAATCATTTTATTGGGGGCTCATGCAGCTCTTATCACAGTCCATCCATCCATCCATCCATTGTGTCAAGCACATTTGTACATTTGTTGCCATCGTCATTTTCAAAACATTTTCTTTCTACTTGAGGCCTTAGTATCAGCTCCTCATTTCCCCCCTTCCCTCCGTCAAGAACCCTTGATAATTTAAAAATTATTTTGTCATGTCTTCCATTGACCAATGTCCCCCTTCACCCACGTTTCTGTTCTGTCCCCCAGGGAGGGGGTTATATGTAGATCATTCTGATCAGTTTCCCTTGTCTCCCCCACCTTATCCTTACCCTCTTGGTATCGCTACTCTCATTATTGGTCTTGAAGGGTTTATCTGTCCTGGATTCCCTGTGTTTCCAGTGCTTATCTGTACCTGTGTACCTCTGGTCTAGCTGGATTTGTAAGGTAGAATTGGGATCATGATAGTGGGGAGGAGGAAGTATTAAAGAACTAGAGGAAAGTTGTATGTTTCATTGGTGCTATACTGCACCCTGACTGGCTCATCTCTTTCTTGTGACCCTTCTGTAAGGGGATGTCCAATTGTCTACAGATGGGCTTTGGGTCTCCACTCTGCACTCCCCCTCATTCACATTGATATGATTTTTTTCTGGGTCTTTGATGCCTGATATCTGATCCCATGGACACCTCAATTATCACACAGGCTGATATGTTGTTCCATGTGGGCTTTGTTGCTTCTCAGCTAGATGGCCGCTTGTTTACCTTCAAATCTTTAAGACCCCAGGTGCTATATCTTTTGATAACTGGGCACCATCAGCTTTCTTCACATTTCCTATGCACCCATTTTGTCTTCAGCGATCGTGTCGGGAAGGTGAGCATCATGGAATGCCAGGTTATTAGAACAAAGTGTTCTTGCGTTGAGGGAGGACTTGAGTGGAGGCCCGGTGTCCTTGATACCTAGCATAAATAGATGTACATAGATCTATTTCCGGGAGGAAGTTTCTAAGCAAAGATGAAGGCTGTGAAGCAGCATGGCACGTTCTGGGAACTGGTGCCGAGAGTGTACTCGGGGAAGGATGAGAAACATGACTGTTAAGATCACTTCAGGTGAGATTGTGGAGTGCAGCAGTCTGAGTTGATGGCTTGTCTGATTTAAAGATCTTGACTCCAGTCTTTTGTGTATGGGTTAGCCACCCATAGTGCTGTTGGGCCCAGTGAGCTGTCGTTGAGAAAGAGCAAGGTGGGTCCTTGCAGTGTTTAGAACGGTGTCGTTCTAAGGTCAGTTGAAAATATTTATTGAAATGACGAAGACACAATGGCCTCTGAGTCGCAGAGAAGATAATGTCTCTCATAGACCCCAGCACTGGGGTTTTGGTCGAGCCCTGGTGGTGGAATGGTTATGCGTTGGGCTGTGATCCACATGGTCGGCAGTTCAAAACCACCTGCATCTCTGAGGGAGAAAGACTGAGCTTCCTACTCCCATACACAGTTCCAGTCTCAGAAGCCCCCAGAGGGGTTGCTGTGAGTCAGCATTGACTTGATGGCAGTGGGTTTGGGCACCGCATGCTGTTGAGCAAGCATTCAGACTGCCCAGACACTGCTGTGGCAGCCCCTGTAGTCCTGTCCATCCTGAGAACAAGGATCTGACGGGTTCCTGGATCTGCTATGTAGACAGAAACATAGCTGAGAAGTGGAAGGAAGAAGAGGGGTCTACTGTCATGAGTGCATTTGGTGAAAACGGTCCCTTTTAGTAATTGCATGTAGGTAGGAGTATGTATACACATGTATAAAATGATCATCTGGGGATCTTGTTAAAATATAGATTCTGAATCATTATATCTGAAGGAGGTGTAAATTGTCAGCAGGACATCTAACTGGAATGAGCCCATTCAAAGCCTTGGAATAAATTTCTCTCAGAATGATAGCAACCTCTGTGATGACTGTCTCTGTGATGTGATGGTTAACGTGCTTTTCCCTTAATGTTCACCTGGTGGTGGTCTTGAACCTGTGCGGAGCCGAGTATGAGGATGGTGGAAGATAGTACATTTTCTGCCTCTCCAGAAACAATTTGTGTCTGTTGGTTTCTCTAGTGCTTGCTGGAGGAGAATCGACATGAATTTGGTATGTACCGCACTGTGATAGTTTCTCGTGCTCATGAAAGACATGTTCACGCAGGAAAGGTAAAGAGAGACTCCAATTTTTGAAGCCAGAATATGCTCTTGGTTCATTTATGTATTTAAGAATGCTGCTTGGTTTGGTCACACAAGCCTCACTTACTACTAATACTCTCCTGATGTGTGTTTTCATTACTTTTTACAATAGCTATTTTTCATTATTTTTAGGATCTCATTTTACCCAATGGTGGTACTCCGGCAGGCACTTCAAGTCCAGCTTCTTCATCTTCCCTTCTCAACAGACTGCAACTTGATGATGACATTGACGGTGAGACCAGAGATCTCTTCGTCACAGTTGATGATCCCAAGAAGCATGTGTGTACCATGGAGACCTATATCACATATCGGATCACCACCAAAGTAGGTCTTCTGTTATCCTCGGCCCGTGATGAAAGGTCTCGGAGGATTGGCCTTACGCCCAGCTTTGCTCTGATCCTCCCTTTTTGAAATTTCTAAATCATTTTATTGAGGGCTCGTGCAACTCTTATCTCCATCCATCCATC